GCAAAGTCAAGGCAATTGTTCATCTGAAAAAACATGAGAACATCTTATACACGTCAAAGGAATAACATCGGACATCATGTTTTGCTACTGATGCGTCAAATGTGTCCTCCGCATGTCTACTAATATTTAAAACAAAAAAAATCCCCATTAAACTCGCATCTTTCTCATTTGTTAGGTTGTGCAACATTATGAAAATGAATATTTTATGTAAATTAAGGAGCATGCAAAAACTGTTTTAACTTCATGCTCATTCTGTAGATTTTGAGTTTATAGTCAATGTTATGATTGTAATTAAAGCGACAAAGAAGCGATTGTAATAAATGATTAGTCACTTGATAAACAACTGTCGTCTTACAATTACATATTGATGTTACAGTTTACACAAACCACACCTCTAGATTCGCAAGTTATTATTTAAATGCACAATGCAAATACAAAAGCGAAGATTTGGATCTGAATACACAATACTGTTATAAGGTTAAAATGCATCTCAAAAACATTAGAAAATGGTAACAAATAAAACCGTTATATCTGCAATGAGGAGTTGCATTAGATACAGTTTGTGACAGAGAACCTTTAGTTCGAAAGGAATCAATAGATAAAATACATTTCACATTTATTACAAGTGTATTCTTGACATTTCATATTTATCATTGGACTGGTTCCAGGTTATCGTTCATTAGTTAATGAAACAGGCAGAGAATTTCAAGATATATTTCATTTGGAGCATCCGGGGCGAGTCACAAAATCAATAGAGAGATGAGCAATCTGGCACGTAGGCTTCTGTGTTTTTCCGATTACGACACACATGAGTTCATGGTCAGATCTAACTTTTAACGAATCAAAATGAGGTATTGTGACATGTGACAAAGAACACTATAAAATGATACTTTAACATTAGGAGAGGAGAGCGCGGTTTGCAATCGATCGAATCCCGATCGATCTAAGTTCTCCCCATTTAGTGACGAGTCTGGCCGGTCTGATCCTGTCCTGTATTGATAGATGGGCTGAGAGTAAGTAAAACTTAAGTGAGTATAAAGCTGGTGTTGCGTTTCTTTATTTTGCGAGTATGAATGCTGATAGAGACAACTTGGAGTAAGCGTCGTTAGACCAATCCCTCCTTGACGGAGCCGAGCCGCTGCGGACAAGGCGAGTTGCAAAGTCATGGCGTAATTGACCATGATGACCAGGAACGGCAATACTTTCAGTAGCTGTAGTAGGGTCGCACTTGACGCCCAAAAGCAGTTACGACAATACCTTTTAGAAAGTGGTCAGATGTTACAAATCTTATATTTGCGTTAACACTTTCTCAGTAAAGTACAAATTCAAGAATTTTTGGGGTTGAGTCCCATGGATTCGAACCCACACTCTCCGAGTGACGCACCTAATCTCCAGCGCACAAAGTCAGCGATCTAACCCACTCAGCCAAAGAGGCTTCCACGAGGCTCCCCCAAAATGGAAGTCCGACCACTGGTAATCTAGATCACGTACTTTGTGTATCCCTCTGATAGAAGGGGCCTGAAGTTAGCAGCGGGTTCGTTATTCGTTATTCGTTTTTCGAATAACGAAAAACAAGCCAGCACCGGGTTTGTTATTCAAATGCTTTATATTAAACAACTGCAGTAATGTGGCCAAATACACTGAAACTCATATAATGTATGACAGCAGGTTCGTCTTACATCATCATCAAAAAGCTGTTTAGTTTTTCAGTACTTTTAAATAACAAAAACTAAACTGCAGCATTTTAGTTTTCAGTTGATGTCCGACGAATTGACAGATGTAAGGTAGTCTAATCTATGTCCAAGCAGTTTTTTAGTTACTAAGTGCTGTCCAGCAGCAGGTCGAGTCCCATTTGGTATTCGAACCCACACTGTCAGAGTGAGGCACCTAATCGCAAGCACACAAAGTCAGGGATGTAACCCCCTCAGCTACGCAGGTTTCCACAAAAATGAAAATCCAATAACTGGTTGTTTGGATCACGTACTTTGTGTACCCCTCTGACAGGTGTAAATTGGCACGGATCCCATAGCCGAAAGCTATGAACACACAATGCCATTTAGAAAGTGGTCAAATGTAACACATGTTACATTTGGGATAACACTTTCTTAGTAAAGCACAGATTCATTTGTATACAGATATGTGTAAATAAATACATAAATAGATATAGCAGCAGATTTTTTATTCAATTTATTTTTATATACTCAACAACAAAAGTTCCTGTGACACCTATATTTTAGTGTATTTTTCAAACAAGTAAAGTTTCGTTTTCAATACTGTAATTCATGTATGAAATCAAGTCACAAAAACGCAACTGCTACAGAAAAGCATGCATTCCATGCAAAAGTTGACTTTTATGCAAGCCCCATGCATTTCTCTATCCAATAATGGGTATAAAAACATGTGAATTAACGGATTCCATATGCATTGTTTAGCATCGTGCTAACAACAACCACTCAGAAAAACAACAAAATTACGTAATTATTCAACATTACGAAATGCCACGCCTGTCCGAAAATGAGGGTCTGCGAGCCATTGGTATGCTTGATGAAGCAGGATCGAGACAACGTGATGTTGCAAGACAATTTAACGTCCACAGAAACACCATTTTGTGTTTATGGCAACGTTGGCGACAGACGAATGCAGTCAGAGACCATCCTCGGAGTGGCAGGCCACGCGTAACCAATAATCGACAAGACAACTGGATTCGAACAACACACCTACATGAAATCGATTCCAGCCAGCAACAGTGACTGCAAGAAGCATCCCTGGCCTTCGACGAATATCTTCACAAACCGTACGTCGTCGCCTCAGATGTGGAGGGATTGTCGCCAGAAGACCCGCAAGACGTCCCATTTAGACAGGAAACCACCGTCAAGCACGTTTACAGTGGTGCAGACAGCGTCTACGCTGGACGGCCATGCAGTGGGGACAAGTTCTATTCACTGACGAGTCTCTATCTTATGTTTGAAACAATTGTTGGACATAAACTGAATAACGAACCCAGTGCTGGTTTGTTTTTCGTTATTCAAAAGTACTGGATAACTAAACAGCTTAGACGAACCGGCTGTCATATATTAAATGAGTTTCAATGTATTTGACCACATTACTGTAGTTATTTAATATACAGCCTTTGAATAACGAACCCCATGCTGGCTTGTTTTACGTTATTTGAAAAACGAATGACGGTGCTGGCTTGTTTTTCGTTATTCAAAGGTACTGAATAACTAAACAGGTTTTAGATGATGATGTAAGACGAACCTGCTGTCATGTATTAAATGAGTTTCAGTGTATTTGACCACATTACTGCAGTTGTTTAATATACAGCCTTTGAATAACGAACCCGCTGCTAACTTCAGGCCCCAGAGATAAATGTAAATTGGCACGGCTCCAATGACCGGAAGCTATTAATAGACAATGCCTTTTAGAAAGTGGGCAAATGTGACAAATGTTATATTGGGATAACACTTTCTTAGTTAAATAGTGCGGTGGGGTAATCTAGTGGTCAAAGCGTACGAAGACCCAGGTTCGATTCCCCACATGGGTACAATGTGTGAAGCCATTTCTGGTGCCCCCCGCCGTGATATTGCTGGAATATTGCTAAAAGCGGCGTAAAACCATACTCACTCACTTATTTCAATACAAATTCTAGTACTTTTGGGGGGTTGAGTCCCCTCAAGATTCGAACCCACACTCTTAGAGTGAGGAGGGGCACGGGTGGCCCAGTCGTCTAAGGCGCCGCGATTCGATGGCCGAGTTGCGTTCCATGGGCACGCCAGAAACCTATGATTGTGGGTTCGAATCCCGGTTCGCCCCGATTATGTTTCTAGGTTTGTCAGCACCATACCCGTGCTCATTGGTTTCACCGAAGTGGTAAACGTCTAAGACCTGCATCACTTCGGGCTTTCCTCCCACATTAAGCTTACACACCGCGATATAACTGGAATACTGTTAAAAGCGGAGTTAAACCCAACTCACTCACTCACTCTCAGAGTTAGGCACCTAATCGCCACAACAAATCGTCAGCGAAAATATTAGGTTGTGTATTTTACGAATGCTTCCAGCAGATCAACCATCGCACAACAACATTCGGTACTTTGTAAATATATCAGTGATGGATTAAGTCCGTTCACAGAAATTACACGGTGTGTGCGTACCGGTAGGATTGCATAACAGTCTGCAGTGATAAGTTATCGTCTTTGTGGCAAGCCGATAGATCACGTATCAACAATGTGCTCATTTATCTGCTGATATCATTCTTTGTTGCATGAGTACAAAAATTATTTACTAATGCACTGGAATGGAATATCTCCCCTGCCGGTCAATTAGCGCGGAAGAGTTGCTCACCATGGAGACCACGCGCAGCACCATCACATCAGAGACCGAGACGAGCGTTCAGTAATTGTTTAGAATGTGTTTATCATACGGCAACAAATTATCCCCCTTTATTGACTATGGCGTCAAGAACAATGGAGTCGATACCTAAACGCACCCGTTTATTGGTATTTAATAGCCAGCTGTTATACAGTGTCTTAATGCATGCATTCGTCAGGAACCGGAAAAGAACGTGAACAATTTGGTTATATGGCATCTGTACTAATTAAGTCTCCGAAAAAAAGTGGTTTCACAAGTTTTCGTTCAGTGAGATTTTGGTCGTACTGAACCTTTCATAAAACGATTGTTCTTTTTACGCGTCGTTTAGGGCTCCCGCTGACGTGCGCGTGTGTGAATTATTAAAGCGCGTCTTTGAGAGATGGTTCGCAGTTACCTGTGATTGGACCGTGCGACAGGTGCTTGCCGAATTCCCTGATGACAATCCAAGCCCGGCACGACATAATTTCCTTTGCTGGATTGCAGCTTAAGACATATCAATACCGTGATCAATTTTTAAGTGTGGGAGATAGGCCGCGGAAATAGTGAGATAGTCTGTGTTTGTGTGTAAACGTTCATTCTGTCTTGTGAAATCAACGGGGAAGTATGTTGGTGGAATGACAACGCCCAATATGGCCCCACCCTACAAGGGGATACTCGTCACCCTAGCGGTCATCCTCACAGGTGAGACACCTCATATTTAGGAAAAAACCTCTATCTCTAAGTGTGTGAAATTATAAGGACGCATATTGTGGTCGTTTTATTTTGATTCCTCAATATACATTTGGGGTATAGCTTATTCTTGTTTATATGTATCTGACACATTTTTTCACTTGTAAACAAATAAAATTTATTATTAATGACGCTTTTTAATGGATTTATTTTCGTACATTTCAACGAATACATAAATTATGCTTAGTGTGACATTTTACCTAGATTTCAATGTGAACGATGTTGACTAAACTAGTTATAACGTACAGGTGTGCGATGAGGATGAAGATTATATCTTGATATATTACTTGATACGATGTTAGTATTTATGTAACTGAATTTTTTTTTTTTATAGAATTTGTCTTAGTTGATGAAAGACAAACTTAGACGTTCAACATTTAACATTAATGCTCATACAATAAAATATACTTTTGACATTGCGTTTTAAATGATCTTATACTTTTTCCATAATATAGTGGTAATCGTATCATTTTTTGCGATATAACTGTGTAAGCTTTGAATGCTAATCGTCTGAAAAGACTTTCTCTTTAAACGTCAACGAAATAGTATTTGACTCTCGTCCTTGCAAATTTTCGCAAGTGAACTGGGTTGTTTTTACCATGTTGAAACTTAGTTTTAAGAACAGGTTTTTTTCAGCAGATGGGTCGTATAGCCCATGCATAGGCCATATACACAGGGCGATGCATCTTTTAAACTATTCAGGCGATGTATGATGTTTATCAATAATCAACATACAGTACCAACAAAAGTGTATAAAGCCACGACTTGAAGGCGGAACTATTCCGCCATGTCATAGTCATACACCATTGTTGCCAAGTATAGATCAAGGAATGGTTGCATAAACACAAATTGGACAGATCGATTTCATCGATTGTTTTAAACAAAACATAACCTCCTCGAAGGTTTAGTTTCTTACTATTTTAATTGTTATAATGTAATTAAGGTTTCAATTTCCCTGTTGAAAGAACACTGTAGCTGGCGCTGAGGGGTGTGTTGATGGTCTTGACTCCTGTCTTGCACAATGAGCATTTTCTGTATATTTATGTGGCCTAAGACATACACCTCATTTGACTTTACTTGGCAACGTTGACTATCGGCAACGTTGTTCATATCAATACATGTCATAAATATATCAGTAGGAACAGAAGTTCGGATGTCAACGATTGTTGACCCGTTCCCAAATAAAGCAGTTCTTTCCCAACGTAAAAACGAGACATGCCTTTATGCCACCTGTAAACATATGGCGCAGTACATTGTGGAAGTATGTTTGAATCGGCAATTCTATATTTTCGAACATGAACTTCGTGGAAGCCTTGAAATATGGAAGCTAAGACACTAGCGCGAAACTCGATACTTAAACTTGGGCTTACAACAGTCTTAGCGCTAATATAATTTTGTGCAAGTGGGTTTGTGAGTGAGTTTGATTTTTACGCCGCAATGTTCCAGCAATATCACGGCGGGGGACACACGCAATGGGCTTCACACATTGTATCATGTCGGGACTCGAACCCGGGTATTCGGCGTGACGAGCGAACGCTTTAACCACTAGGCTACCCCACTGCCCCGCAAGTGGGTTTGTATCAAGCCCACCTGCACAAAACAATGTTATGAGGAAAGCAATCCACAAAGCGATCTTAACGCTGAGACTATATCGTATGACCTTAACGTAGAAATGGTGCTGACTCGTGAATCCGGGAATTTGTATATCTGGATGATTTCAGCGCTACCGTCTGAGTTAATTTGGTTTCACTGTTTTCAAGGAGAATCATACTTGACTGTATGTTTGTATTTGAAATTCTCCAACGTCATGATGCAGACACGATAATATGTATATCAGTGCCACTTTATAATTAACTGTAGTGAAGAAACAGTGTCTTCTGTATTTAAAAGTACCAGACTAGCAGGTTCATCTTGGCGTCAGAAATGGTTTGCTGTGGTTATTACGCCGCTTTGGCCAGTATATCAGTTATATCACGCCTAAGACGTGTACAACGTGGTGAACGTCACGAGAACATGTATGGTGTTTACAAACCTATACACATAATCAGGGCCAAACTGGGATTCGAACCCACGATCATATATTTCTGGAACGCATAAGGGACGCAACTCTGCACAGCGAATTGCAACGCCTTCCAAATGTCAAAAATGAATTCTGGTTTAAAGTCATTTAGGAGAAGAACCTATTGTGTTTTAAAATTAGAGGACTGTTGTATACAATTGATAGTTTGTCATTTGAAACCGCACGCGGAGTGAATATATTGTAACTTCACAATAGTTTACATAGAGTATTTAATACAGATACTAATGACAAATTTTACGAATTTACAAATATTGTACCACTCTTTCTTAAAAATCGTTATGGTTCAAGCACGCAATAATAGTATCAAGTGTGTAATTATAATATCGTTAGGTATTGTAGGCTTGACTTGTTCGTAAAGCATTCGCTTGTCACGCCATTGCTACGACGTGCGAAGTCCATTCCTGGTGTCCCCTCCGCCATATTGCTGGGATACTAGTATTGCTAAAAGCGGCATAAAACCGCATTCATTCTCTACAATACCGTTAAACATTATGTTTCCGCAAATCTTTAAAACCTCCCTATAACCCCCCAACAGACCCCCCTGCCCCCCAATGACCCTCGGTCAGCCGAAACCGCGCCCAACATCCAGGATGGTGGATTTTCCGTCATAGTAATAAGATGACAGTCTGTGACATGACTGCTGTACTGTTAAAAGGTAATAAATCCATCTCACTAATGTTGCTCTATTGAAGGACGAGGTACGATACAGGTACGCTTTGGCTGAAGGGAAATGTCATTTATTTTATTTGAAAGTCAACTCAACTCTTCTTCTTTCTATCACTTGCAAGTTTTATATTTATGACGAAGTCAATTTACAGAAATATGGCTAACATTATTGAAAACGCCGATTTCTTTTAAATCCTAAGAGACAAGCAAATTATCTGACCCGCGATAAATATTGTATCATAAATACGTGATGTTTTGTTACAAAAACTTGGGTCAACTACTAGATCATGTTCAAATATTACAAAATTCCTCCCTGAAAACCTTTACAATCAGCCGAAGTGTTGAAAAGAACAAAATACTAACAAAATTCTAATACTAAAAGTTTCATAAACAGAAATCTAGCAGGCCAAAAGGGGCGTTATTTAACTCGGCCTCTTCACTTTCAGTATTTGTTATACATTTTGTGGGACAATCGTAGTGTGGTCGCTTTAGAAACGTTCTTTGTGACCTTTGGCTGAAACTGCTAAAGACTGCCGTAACTTTAATGTTTATCTTAGTATTAGAGATGCAAACATCGCCTTCTAATGTCATTAAGTCACAGTATACTATAACGTTTTGTACCACACACTTTTTGTTCCGTAAACGCCATAGAAATCCAACAGAGCCTTCTAACATGGAACTCCATAGGGCGTTGAACATCAGGCACCTTTAAGCTCCATGTACTTGTAGAGAACAATAGTAGATTCAGCCTCGCACCGACTCCCGCAGGACATGACTGCAGTGCAATGTGCAATGAAGCAATATGGGTTATTGTTATTGATTATGTCAAGTTTTAGCAAGATGCTTCAACTATTCAAAGTCACAAATATCAGGTATAATCCAGGTTATACTAGATTAGATACATCAAGTTCATAAATGGTTCGGGGAAATCACCTACCTTTTCTAGAAAGAAAATATTCCACATATACTGACTGATTAAATTAAGGGAACGGCGTTAAATGAAATGTGTGTTTGCAATGTGTTTTGCTCCGAATAAAACCAGAGGTCTAATTTATCAGCAATGTAGTGAAAACACATATCACATCACTAAACACAGCTGTAAGCATCTTTCCGCAATATTTCTTTGCTTTACCCGGGGCGGTGTGGTTGTAGTGTTCGCTCGTCACGCCGAAGACGGGTTCGATTCCTCACATGGGTACAATGTGTGAAGCCGATGTCTGGTGCCCCACGCCGTGATATTGCTGGAATATGGCTAAAAGCGGCGTAAAACAATAGCTTGTCTGAAAATTGCTGTCACCAACATTGAAGGGCACAGAAAAAGTATCTCTGATACGGGACGCTAAAAGAGCTTCTTTTTTAAAATAACGAAATAATCTTTTAATCACTGACGTTATTTCATTGTAAACGGAAGCATTCTGATAAAAGAAAATTTGCAGTTTCTATTTTGAAACATAACCAAGTTATTATCAAAAACATCTTCATCCTCTTTTGATATACAATCTGAAGTATATGGAGATTATCTATTGGATTCCTAACTGCTAGAGATCAATCATGATCTCACGAACTGATCTCCCATGTGACCTCATTTTGCCGGAACCCGTGTTCAGGGACATCAAGTAGCTTGGGAATCTGGAAAAGAAAACGCTCTGTGAACCTCCATTTAGTTTGAGATACACCTGGAAATTAATGAAGCACCACCAATATTTTCATGAATGTGAACAAGGATATTTAGTCTGAATTGTTGACATTTTGAAAAAAGACTTTATATATATTCACCACAAACAAAGTGGAAATTACGATTGTCGCTCAATAAATACTATACTCCTTCAAACCAGTCTGTATTAACGGAATTCAAAACCGTCGGTAGAAGCAAAAACATGGTCCTAAAGACTTGGTGTTACCACACTACACACGGACGACTACCATCTGGCGACTCATTCCATGAATCAGACGTTTAACTTGACGTTGGTGTGTTCTAGCCCATTCCGCATACAACAGCAAGTTCACGTACATTTTGGACAGGCTGGTCTCTGTCGAAATTGACGGCCTAAAATTTCTCACAGATGTTCTACTGGATTAAGATCTGGACTTCTTGCTGGCCAAGGAAGTGTCTTGATGACATTCTTACGTAAGCATTTCAGAACAGCACGTGATGTGTGAGGTCTAGTATTGTCATCCACGAGGACAGGTTTAGTGGCCAACACAC